TCCGTCGGGCCACTCTGCCATAAAGCCCCGACTGGTGGAGGGCTGCAGTGATGGTTGACTTTCGTCGTCCCAAATGTCTTCCATTTAAGGATTATGGAGGCCACTGTGCTCTTAGGAACCTTAAGTGCAGCAGAAATTTTTTTTTGTAACCTTGGCCAGATCTGTGCCTTGCCACAATTCTGTCTGTGAGCTCTTCAGGCAGTTCCTTTGACCTCATGATTCTCATTTGCTCTGACATGCAGTGTGAGCTGTAGGGTCTTATATAGACAGGTGTGTGGCTTTCCTAATCACGTCCAATCAGTATAATCAAACACCGCTGGACTCAAATGAAGGTGTAGAACCATCTCAGGGATGATCAGCAGAAATGGACAGCACCTAAGTTAAATATATGAGTGTCACAGCAAAGGGTCTGAATACTTATGACCATGTGATATTTCAGTTTTTCTTTTTTAATAAATCTGCAAAAATGTCAAACATTCTGTGTTTTTCTGTCAATATGGGGTGCTGTGTGTACATTAATGAGGAAAAAAATGAACTTAAATGATTTTAGCATATGGCTGCAATATAACAAAGAGTGGAAAATTTAAGGGGGTCTGAATACTTTCCGTACCCACTGTAGATTACCTGAGGGGTGGCTGGAGCAGCAGGCGCCACCGCTGGAGGTGGAGGGAGTCTTTCTGGCTCCACCGGAGCCACAACAGCTTGCACCTTTTTCTTTCCTTCTGCCAACTGCTGGTGAGTCAACTCTCTCACTGCTTCCTCATCTGCTTGCTTTTGGCGGGATGCACTGGCACGTGCTTTTGTCACAGCATCCACCACATAGTCAGTAAAACAGAGATGAAAACAGCCAATGATTATTTCAGAAGTCTCTGTGAAGCAAAGATACAACTGCCTTCTTTATAAGCTTATTAAATCTGAAACAACTGCCAAGCGGCACAAACTGGTAACAACTCATTACTTAATTATTACTCCCGCACCCTAGGTAGGGACACATCATCATGTCATTATGTATAATTATTGGCTTTCCACATGGCGCCTTCAAACCTTTAAGCCTACCTACTGGTACATATCCTATTTATTTGATTTATTTTAATAAATCAGCATCACTAATGATATATATACTGTAGATCCCACTGCACATGCGCGAAGGATAAACCCAATAGCGACAGCTCTTAGAGGGCGAAGCCTATATGAAATAGAACTAGTGATTATGATTATGCAGTTAGTAATGAATGAGTTTGTGCTACCCAGTGGCTGCTTCATTTTTAATCAGGATCAAATTATACAGACAGTGATCATTAAGCTACTCTGTTTTACAGATACATCTACTGAGGAACTGTTCTGATAGCAAAGAGAGACTGGACCTGATCACATCCAGACTAGAAAGCAAACAAATACAGTGGCACAGTACTGGCATGAATACATAGCCATTGATCTATACCAGACAAGGCTACCTACACTATTGGCACACTTGTTTATTTATTTGTTTGTTTTTAGCTTCTTATCTTTCACTCTATTCTTGCACTTGTATTTAAAAATGTGAATATTTGCTCAATGGTTCAATAAGAATAGCACATAAAAGAATCAGTAATGCTTTAATTGTATTTTATTCTTGTAAATCATATTCAATGTAAATCATAGCTTGTTTAAAATCAGACTGATCATTGCCTAATGAGAGTAAGTTAATAACCTGAGCATAATGACTTAATGATAATAAACTCTCCTGGTCCAACATCCTGCTAGAACTAGCGATGTCTCCATGTCTATTAACATATCAGAAATCTCACAGGAGATGCAGACTGCTCATTAGACACAGCAGACCCCAGCTCTGTTCTCCATATCTAGTCCTCTCACAGAGGGCGGTCGCTGGGGAAGTGGGCGTGGCGTCGTAGCTAGGCGGTGACGTCACGGGGAGCTGTCGTGGTGCTGAAGACACAGTCGCCTCTCTCCGCTCAGTCAGACAGACAAACGCTGGTCCTCGAACGCTGGATTTCACCGCCTCAAAGATCGTTTATTGGCGCTTAGCACAGGAGGAGGATACACAAGAAAAGAAAAGCTCTCTGCGTCGTTTGTGCATCACCCGAAGCCCATGTGCCAAAGATTCCAACAAGTAAGTGCCCTGTTTTCTGTCCAGCTTCAGTCTAATGTGCCAGAAAGCAACAGGGAGTAATACACCTTCACTAGGTTGCAAAGGCTAATCAATCGTAGGTGATCTGGTTCCCGGGTCATTTCTGTTATAGCCGTGTAATAGTAGAGATGTTTATCTTGTGTCTGTAATTATCGGCCACCGAGGTAAGTCTTCCAGCCGCACCTAAATCTTACCCTTCCCGCCTGGGGTAAAACATTTGCCTTGTATTTGCATGATTCAGTGGTCAGATAAGCTCTCTCTCTCACACACACCCTCTCACTCTGCATTTCTCACATGCATTCACACACACATTCTGTTTTCTGTGCATAAATGCTAGAGATCAGAAAAGCAACCATAAAACATAGCAATAGCCCCTGTATTCATTTTCCTATATAGGCTTACTTGTATCTCTGTGTGCGCGTGCACCTGTGTGCGTGTGTGTCCATCAGACACACTGGTAAAAAAGGGCTGGCTCAGTAAACACAACTGTTCTGGGCTAGTATACTGTAACCTCAAGTCAGTTTAATTTCTGAGGCTTCTGGTCATCCTACTTGTAATTTCCCAGTTTGCTAAGCAGCCGCCACGTGTGATGGTTAGGCCTATATGGGTTTACACAGACAACAACCTGAGATTGGCCACTGGGTTTGTAGCTGATACAGCACAATAGTTTGTGGGACAAAGTGCAAGAGCCAGTGAATCTGCTGAAAGGTATTGCTTTTTGGATTCCGCTATAAATTTAGGTGTGGCTGGGTCGGTCTCTCCACTCTTCACCTTTCCCCTCCTCTTCCTCTCCTTCCCTATCCCCTTTCTGCTCTCCTCTCATTTCCTTTGTTGTGTCACCTTTCCTCTCTTCTCTGTTTTATTGCCCTACCTGATGTGGTGAAACAGAGTCGGCCAGTGCTTCAAAACCATCTCTTTCCTTCATCTGTGCATGTACACTGAAAGGGAAGCCACTGGAAACCAGTTTTATAATGCAGCGGATGTCAAGGTTTTGAGCCTTCTTCTTCTCTTCATTCATGTTTAAAGAAGCTATGTTTTCATTTAGTTTGCTATTTTTCTTCTCAAACCATTAAATGTAAAAATTGTGCAAATGTTGCCTATCTTCTTGAATGTCAGATGCTAAAGGAGATTATGACATTCCCATAAGGCTGAAACAGATTTTTTTATGGTCAGAACTGAAGCAGCTGAGGCTCAGATATCCTAACTTTTAGGTCCTTTATGGTACACCTGAAAAATGGCTGGATCCTACATTTCCCACAATGCACCTCAGCAGTGCCCTTCATTAGACAATCCCTATATCTTAATTGTGCACCTCTTTCAGTTCCCACACCTCCAGCTTCTAATTCAGGTTTTGTGTTACAAACGTGAACGATCGAGCCTGACCTGAGGCAGCCTGCCTGTTTCAGACTCTGCTAAGCTTCCTGTGTTTTCATTGGGTGAGTACATAGAATTCCTCGTGGTGGGCAAACTGAACTGTGTTAAATCAACTGTCAAAAGTTCCTTGTACATGAAATATTAACAACCACCACTCGTCGTAAAAGATGGTAAAGATTCCACAATGTAAAATGACCAAGCTGCAAAAAGATGTGCAGTCAGCAACCTTCCCATATTTCCCTTTTCCTTCCTTTTATTAATGATTCTGTTACTGGTGTTGAGAAAATGCCGTATTTGTGAGGCTCAACATGTGCACAACTGGATGTAGTTTTACGTCTCTGTGAGCTTTCCACTTGGCTTCAACAAGATGCACGTGGGCAGGGTGTGGCTCGAGCTCTCCGCTC